AAACCCCGTATCTACTAAAAATACAAATATTAGCTGGGCATGGTGGCAGGCACCTGTAATCCCAGCTACTCGGGAGGCTGAGGCAGGAGAATCACTTGAACCCAGGAGGTGGAGGTTGCAGTGAGCCGAGACTGTGCCATTGCACTCCAGCCTGGACAACAAGAGCAAAACTCCGTCTCAAAAAAAAAAAAAAAAAAGAAAAGAAAAAGAAAAAAGAAATAGAAAACCTGTTGAACAGACCAATAATGATACTGAAGCAGTAATAAAAATTAATGATATTGAAGCAGTAATAAAAAGTCTCCAAACAAAAAAAGCCCAGTACCTGATGGCTTCACTGCAGAATTCTACCAAGCATTTAAAGAAGAACTAACACCAATTCTACTCAAAGTATTTCAGAAAATTGAAGACAAGGGAATACCTCCAAGCTCATTGTATAAGGTCAGCATCACTCTGATGCCAAAACCAGACAAAGACAAAATAACAACAACAACAACAACAACAAAAACTATTAGACAATATCCCCAGTAAACATGCATGTAAAAATTCTCAACAATAACTAGCAAACCAAATTTAACAGCATATTAAAAAGGTAATGTACCATAATCAAGCAGGATTTATATCAGGGACACAAAGATAGCTTAACCATATGCATTATCAATAAATGTGATACATCACATCAACAGAATGAAAGACAAAACTTATGACCCTCTCAATAGAGAAAAAGCATTTGAAAGAAATCAACATCCCTTCATGATAAACTCTCTCAATAAACTAGCAAAGATGAAACACATCTCAAAATAATAAAGTCCATATAAGACAAACGCACAGTTACAATCACATTAAATGGGGAAAAGTTGAAAGTCTTTCCTATAAGAACTCAAGACCAGGACGTCAACTTTCACCACTTTTATACAACATAGTACTAAAAGTCCTAGTCAGAGCAATTAGGCAAGAGAATGAAATAAAAGACATCCAAATTGGAAAGAAAGAAGTCAAGTTATCTTTGTTTGTAGATGGCATAATCTTATATTTACAAAAACAGACTCCGCACAAAAAATTGTTAGAACTAATAAATTATGAAAAGTAGAATACAAAATCGACATAAAAATCCGTAGCATTCTTATACAGCAAAAGTGAACAATCTGAAAAAGAAGTCAAGAAGTCAATCTCATTTCCAACAGCTACCAAAAAAAAAAAAAAAAAAAACCCAGCTGGGAATAAATTTAACCAAAGTAAAAGATCTCTACAAACAAAACTATAAAACACAGATGAAAGAAACTGGAGAGGATATTTAAAACAAAAACAACAACAAAAAAAAAGACATCTCATGCTCTTGGATTGGAAGAATTAAGACTGTTTAAAATGTCCATACTACTCAAATTGATATACAGATTCTATGCAATCCCTGTATCAAAGACATTTTTTATAGAAATTGAAAAAAAAAACCCTAAAATTCATATGGCCCCACAAATTACCCACAATAAGCAAAGCAATCTTGAGCAAAAGCTGGAGGCTTTACACCACCTGACTTTAGAATATAATACAAAGTCTTATTACCCCAAATGGCATAATCCTGGCATAAAAACAGACACATATACCAATGCAACAGAACAGATAACCCAGAAATAAGTGCACACAGTTACAGCTAACTGATTTTCGGCAAAGGCACCAAGAACATATCGTGGGGAAAGGACAGCTTCTTCTTCAATAAATAGTAGTGAATTGCCGGGTGTGGTGACACGTACCTGTAATCCCAGCTACTCGGGAGGCTGAGGCAGAAGAATTGCTTGAACCCAGGAGGTGGAGGTTGCAGTGAGCTGAAATCGCGCCACTGCACTCCATCCTGGGCGACAGAGTGAGACTCCGTCTTGGAAAAAAAAAAAAAAAGAGAAAGAAAACACTGGGGATTCTTAAGAATATTAGTCTGGGTAGAGTTTTGGGGCAAGACCTCAATAGCATGTGCAACAAAAGGAAAAACAGAAAAATGAGATTATATCAAGCAAAAAAGTTTCTATACAGCAAAGGGATCAATAAAGAGACAACCTGTAGAATAGGTGAAAATATTGGCCAACTATTCATCTGACAAGGGATATAAGGAACTCAAACAACTCCTTAGTAAAAACGAAAACAATCCAATTTACAAATGGGCAAATGATCTGAACAGACATTTCTCAAAGGAAGACATACCAGTGGCCAACTGGTATACAAAAAAGTGCTCTCACCATTTATTACAAAGAAAATGCAAATACAAAATCACAATGAGATATCATCTTACCTCATTTTCAACAGTTATTACCAAAAAGACAAAAGAATAACATGCTGGCCAGGATGCAGAGAAAGGGGAATGCTAGTACACTGTTCGTAGGAAGGTAAACTAGTATAGCAACTGTGGAAAACAGTATGGAGGTTCCTCAAAAAACTAAAAACATCTACCATATGATCAAGCAACTCCACTGCTAAGTATACATCTACAAGAAAAAAAAAAATCAGCATATCAAAGAGATATCTGCACTGCCATGTTCAGTACAGTACTATTGATAGTAGTGAGACATGGAATCAACCTAAGTGTCCATCAACGTTTGAATGGATAAACAAATGTGGTATTTATACACAATGGAATATTATTTAGCCATAAAAAGGAAATCCTGTCATTTGTAGTGACACAGATGGAACTAGATGACATTATGTTAAGTGAATTAAGCCAAGCACAGAAGGATAAATATCTCATGTTCTCACTTATATGTGAGAGTTAAAAAAAGGTTGATCTCCTGGAGGCACAGTACAATGATTGCTACCAGAGGGCGGAATAAAGAGAGGTTGGTTAATGGGTCCAAAAATACAGTTAGAAGAAATAAGTTTTAGTGTTTGATAGCACAGTAGGGTGACTATAGTTAACAATAATTTATGGAATATTTCAAAATAGCTATTAATAGAAGATTTGGAAAGTTCCCAACACAAAGAAATAACACATATTTGAGGTGATGGATATCCTACTTACCTAATTTGACCATTACACATTAGATGCATGTATCAAAATATCACATGTACTCTATAAATGTCTATCAATTTTTAAAGTATAAAAAATTTAGCCAATATTTCAAACATAGAAAAATATAATACAGATATAAAATAAGTACATTCTAAGTAAGACTTTTTCTAACTCAAGAGTTACCAGTTTATGGCTTCTACTATACAGAGAACCCATCTCAAGTTTATTTTCTCTCTGAAACTACAGAAACAGCAAATTATTTCTAAAAACACAAAGTTCTTTGACAAGTTAAGTGGAGAATAGACTAATTAGAATATAATAATCCTGAAAAAAGAAAGGCTACAGTACCTCCTTGATATCGGTGACAGACAACATCCAAAGATAAATATAAAATCAGCATTATTCTACTAGCCAGAGGTGTCAGAGTCACTAGGAAATTCAATATTATTTTAAGTCATGCCTGAAAACCTTGACTTTCTTCCTCTTCATTTTCATTGCCAGCATGCACAGTAAGTAGCTGGTTTCTTTCTTAACAGAGATTTCTTACACTCAAATAACTTTTCTCACTTTGAAAGGTACAAGTGAGTAGAGAACAATTTTTATTGTAGCACTGAATGCAGATACTGGATAGAGGCCAGGCCTGCTCATTATCAAAGTTAGTCACTGATGCACAGCAGTTGCCTAGTCCATGATTTATATTTGTATTTCAGCATAATACGAAGTTAGCATATATAATAAACTTTTGTAATCACCTGTGAATATTATTCAAAGCTAGTAATTTAAATCCATAAACAAAAAAACAAAACACAAAGCAAAGCAAAAGATATACACATATAACCAAGAATATGTTTATAGTTTAAAAATGAATTAATCAGCTAGATGCAGTGGCTCATGCCTGTAATCCCAACACTTTGGGAGGCTGAGGTGGGAGGATCACTTGAGGCCAGGAGTTCAAGACCAGCCTGGGCAAGACAGCAAGACCCCATCTCTCTCTCTCAAAAAAAAAAATATATGTATACACACACACACACACACACACACTTATATATAATATATTTTAAAATGTTTTACAGAATGAACTAATCTAATTATACAACATATACAGTAAATCACAATAAAAAATGTCCTTCCTAAGTGTTCACATGCATATACTCTCATTAGCTTTATGCTTTACCAAAAAATAAGGTTTAAAAAAAAATTAAACTGCAACTATATATATATAAAACTTTCAGAATTACTATGAATTACTGATGAAAATAATCCTCATCATGCCCAGGTGTGGTGGCTCACGCCTGTAATCCTAGTACTCTGAGAGGCTGAGGCAGGCGAATTACCTGAGGTCGGGCGTTCAACACCAGCCTGACCAACATGAAGAAACCCTGTCTCTAATAAAAATACAAAATTAGCTGGGCAGGATGGTGCATGACTGTAATCCCAGCTACTTGGGAGGCTGAGGCAGGACAATCACTTGAACCTGGGAGGCAGAAGTTGTGGTGAGTCGAGATTGTGCCACTGTACTGTAGCCTGGGCAACAAGAGCGAAACTCCATTTCAAAAAAATAAAAAATAAATAAATAATCAATCATCATAATGGAGAAAATGAAAAAACATTAAAACTTGGGAGGCATTTTAAAGGTGATACTGCTTCACATTTAGATTACAAATGTTGAGAAAGTAAGATCAAATCTCAGAATTTTAAAGAAAAAACTAGTGATGAATTATCAATTATGTTAGCTTTTATAAGTTTCATGCACTCCTCCAATCTCCACTCACATCTAGCTGAGAATCATCCTCTCAGATTTCAGAAAAAAGGAGTATGTCACAAGGTACAGCATCCTCAAGGGTGTGATTCATAATGTATACATAGGCTATGAGGCTGTTATAGCCCTCAGAGTATGAGATGGACATTTTCAGCACTGTGTTCAGTCACTATTACTCTCTCCTACAAACTCTAAAACAACAACAAAACAACATAGAAAAGTAGAATCTGTTTTCAAAGATAATCAGCTCACTTTTTGTGAAGGAACTCTCCAGCTGCCACAGCAACAGGGCGATGTGCCGAGTACACCAAGTGGTAAACATTTTCACAGTCTTCATTGGAAAGAGCTTCTTCACTTCCACTGAAAAATACAGAAAGTAACATCTGATCTAAAGCAAATGTTTATTTTCAGTTTTACTTTTATTTAAACTTTGTAAAGTTCACTATAAAATTCAAGCCTTAATAATTTTTGTCTCATCTTTTATCTTACTTTGAAAGTTATGTTTCTTCTTTTAGTATAAAAGACAATAACACAAAATTCAGAAAATAAAGATTCAACAAGAAGAAAATAAAATGCTCACAATTATTCTACTTTTTATTTATTTATTTATTTATTTATTTTGAGACAGGGTCTTGCTGTGTCACCCAGGCTGGAGTGCAACAGCATGATCTTGGTTCACCACAACTTCTGCCTCCCGGGTTCAAGTGATTCTCCTGCCTCAGCCACCCGAGCAGCTGAGATTATAGGCACCCAACACCACGCTCAGCTAATTTTTTGTATTTTTAGTAGAAACGAGGTTTCGTCATGTTGGCCAGACTGTTCTCTAACTCCTGGCTTCAGGTAATCCACCTGCTTCATCCTCCCAAAGTGCTGGGGTTATAGGCATGAGCCACTGCGTCTGGCCTTCTTCTACAGCTTAAAATCTTAGAGCCAGGCGCGGTGGCTCATGCCTATAATCCCAGCACTTTGGGTGGCGAAGGAGGGTGGATTACCTGAGGTCAGGAGTTAGAGACCAGCCTGGCCAACACAGCAAAACCCCATCTCTATTGAAAATACAAAAATTAGCCAGGTGTGTTGATGTGTACCTGTAGTCTCAGCTACTTGGGAGGCAGAGGCAGGAGAATCGCTTGAACCTGGGAGGCAGAGGTTGCAGTGAGTCAAGATTGTGCCACTGCACTCTAGCCTGGGCGACAGAGCCAGCCAGACTCAGTCTCCAAAAAAAAGAAAAAAAATTTGGGTAGAATAAAAACATACTTCCAAGTAACCTGCAATTACACTGGAAACCACAAAGATAATTAAAGGTTTCACAGACATTTATTTATTATTGTCTATTAAAATACTACATGTCTAAATTTTTAGGACATACATGAGTACTTAAAGGTATATTTATTACTTTAGATATAGTTATTAGAAAACAAAAAACAAATGAGCTAAAAGAACCTGGTTCTTTACAAACGGTAAGATGGACAAATCTGACATGACTTATGAAGAAAAAGAGAATACGAATAAAATAGAGGATGAAAAGAATTAAGAAAGAATGAGTCTTGGAAAGTAATAAGAAGATCATGAACTATAAAATTATAAAACTGTGATAAGGCTGGGCGCGGTGGCTCAAGCCTGTAATCCCAGCACTTTGGGAGGCCGAGGCGGGTGGATCACGAGGTCAGGAGTTCAAGACGGGCCTGGCCAACATAGTGAAGTCCCATCTCTACTAAAAATACAAAAATAAGACATGATGCCACGTGCCTGTAACCTCAGCTACCAGGAGGCTGTGGCATAAGAATCACCTGAATCTGGGAGGCAGAGGTTGCAGTGAGCCGAGATTGCGCCAGTGCACTCTAGCCTGGGTGACTTAGTGAGACTCTGTATCCAAGAAAAAAAAGAAAGAAATTGACTGTCACAGTTTTAATAAGATAATTCTCTTATAGTTTCAAGAAATAATTAATCTCTGTCTTAGGACACTTCTTTCAGAAGAGAAAAAAAAAAAGGCAAGAAACTACTGAAAGTATCTTACAGCCCGGCTCACTGACTCACGCCTGAAATCCCAGCACTTTGGGAGGCCGAGGTGGGTAGATCACTTCAGGTCAGGAGTTCAATATCAACCTGGCCAACATGGCAAAACTCCATCTCTATTAAAATAAAAAAAGTAGCTGAGCGTGGTGGTGCGTGCCTATAATCCCAGCTACACGGGAGGGTGAGATATGAGAATCTCTTAAACCTGGGAGATGAAGGTTGCAGTGAACTGAGATCATACCACTGCACTCCAGTCTGGGTGACAGAGTAAGGCTCTGTCTCCAAAAAAAAAAAAAAGGTATTTTACAAACAGAATACAAGACTACAACCTTGATTTTGAAGTTGGAAAAGGACAAGAAAAAAATGTCAAATTTACTCATCAACACGAACGTAAAATCCTAAGATATTAAATATAATACTGCATTTAAATAAAACAAAATATATCGTGTTAAAAAAATTTATTCTAGCAATGCAATAGTGTTTACCATTAGACAAGTCTATTAATTTAACTTAGGCACGTTAATGAAACAAAAACCCCAGAAAACTCAGAATGCAAAGGAACTTCTATCATATTAAAATCTATGACAGAAACAAATAATTTTAAATGATTTCCTAGGACAAGAACAGGAATAGCTATCAGTGACACTGTTACAGTGCTGAAGGTGCTGTCTATGCAATTAGACAAGAGAATGAAATAAAAGTTACAAGGTTAGAAAAGGGAGAGACAGGTCAGGCATGGTGGCTCATATCTGTAATCCCAGCACTTTAGGAGGTCCAGGTGGGTGGATCACTTGAGGTCAGGGATTCGAGACCAGCCTGAAAAACACAGCAAGACTCCATCTCTACTAAAAATACAAAAATAAGACATGATGCCACGTGCCTGTAACCTCAGCTACCAGGCATACTTCCAAGTAACCTGCAATTACACTGGAAACCACAAAGGTAATTAAAGGTTTCACAGACATTTATTTATTATTGTCTATTAAAATACTACA